ACAAACAAAGAGCAAGAAAGGGAAAGTACGAAGTGTGGAATGAAGATGAAGGCTCATGAATGAATCCGTCCTGGGCGACAGATAGGACATGCATTGTAAAGGTGAGGTGGATGAACACATGAAAGGCCTAGCTGAGCATTCTCAGTACAACAATTGCCACGACGGCTGGAATTGAGCATGCCCACCATACACCCCCGACAAATGGCATGTCGATTGCAGTCCAAAAGGAAGGAAGAACACTCACCAGAAAAGTCCATGCATTCAGTATATCGCCCATGGCCACAAAATGGACATAGTCTGTCCGGATGCAGAGGGTGCCTGCAGTCAGGAATGGAGGTACAGTCCTCTGCACACATGGATGCAGAAATCATCTCATCGTAGTGATTGTGACCGAGACGATGGCAGCTACAGCCTAGTGAAACAGTGTTTGTAGCCGTGCAAAGGAGAAGGTCGCACATTGTTGGTGCATTGTCTTGCTGCGGCACGGGGCCAGAGGAATGATCTTCGACATAAAAGAGATTGCGGACAGTTTGGTGTGGCAAGAAAACAGCATCATTATGCAAGAAGAAATCCGTAACATCAGTCATGGCATGGACCATGATGTCGTTGTCCCACAGCTCCCAGTGGTCGGATGCACGTTCAATGGCCATGCAATGGCCAGGTCCATGCACGATGCAGGCAGAGATGTGGGATGGAGGCGAGCATTGCATAGTTCAAGTCCGCAACGGTAAAGCCTATTTCCCTTGTATATGCCACGACTTCGATAGCTCCCTGCTACAGTTTTCTCCAGTCAGGTTGAATATCAGTGGTTGAGGCCGTCACAGAGAGAGAGAGCTGTCTCTTATACACATCTAGATGTGTATAAGAGACAGGCCTCGAACAAAGTAACTCTGCAGATATCAGTCCATATTCGACCTGAAATCCTATATCCCGAATGAGGAAGAAGGCCAGATGCCGCCAAGAGTTACAGAACGCCAGAAAGCTTGATATAACATGATTGAAAACTATGGATTT